TAATTAATGAGTTAATAATAGTTAAAATAATAAGAGGTAAGATAATAATAGTAATATTATTTGATTTATGTGATATATATATATATATATATATATATATATATATATATTATTAGATGATAAATTATGATTAATTGATTTATTAATTGATTGATGATTTATGTATTTATGTTTGATTAGTAAATTGTTTAGATATGATGAGTCAACAAACATAAATTGTTTAGATATGATGGGTCAGCATCGAGTCAGTAATGTGTAAGCCCTAAACTTCAACTATAAATAGAGGTCTGGCCTAACCAAACCAATTCACTCTTCAACATTTCTCCTCTACTATTCTCTCTTCTTAGTTCAAAAACTTAGTTTAATTTATTTTATATTCTTCTGATTACCGACCGGTTCTCTGCCCCAAATTACTCTTTTCTTCTAGAAGTTAGCGAAAACGGAGATCAGGTAATCCTAATCTCTAGGTGGTTGTAGATTTGTTGTGTATGAAATTTTATTGGGAGTGTCCTAATCTTTAGGTAGTTATATGTTCGATATATGTAATCCTAATCCCTAGAGAGTCATAGATTATATTGATATGAATTTTGGTATATGTAATCCTATTCGTAGGTTATTTCTTTTATATAAAACTTGGATGTAATCCTAATCCCTAGGTGTTTAGGTTATCTCTATTATATGAAATTTGGGCATAATCCTTATATGTAATCCGTAGATGTTCTTAATAGTTTGGTATGAACATTTCTATATATGTAGGTATTTGTTTTTTTTTAATTTAAATTACTACATATGATAATTAGAATATTTTTGGAAAATTTTTATTATTTCAGAAATTATGATTATGTGCAATGTATGATATAAGATTTAATTCATGTGCAATATATGGATCTTATTGAATAATTATGAAAATTATGGAATTATACTACTCTTTAAGAAAAACTTTCCAAAAAGCATTTAAAAAAAAATTATGTTTTATATATGAATTGGAGTTTAAGATATTTTAAGGTATTCACCTTTTTGCAGTACTAGAAACACTCATTCCACATCACTTTTCTGAGTGTTTCTAATCATAGTCATGTGTTTTTTAATATTGAAGGGATGAATGAGGTTCTAAATCTCCAGGTAATCTAAATAACAAGCTCCAAAAAGATTTAATTTAAACTATGTCATAAAATAAATTGAAGACTGTCAATTTTTCCATTAAATTATTTGGACTCAAGTTCATTAGTTGGACAACAAAGGCTATGGTATGCCTTTGCGTTATTACTCAGGCTACTTACGAGTTACCGTTGTAAATTATAGTGCATAAAATTATGTTTGCAAAGAGTGAGATTTTACCACCATTCCTGCAACAACGTGAACAATGGGAACAAAATATTGGTCCACTTTGTTCCCCTCAGCGTACCCATTAAATGCAATGACCATTGAGAAAGTGTGGATTGTGACAAAGGCAAGAGCAATAATTGCTGCAATGTATAAAAAAAGGGTAAAGTAATTGGATGAAAGAAATGAAATACTAAAAACACAATGTCTATATAAATTCAAAAATCCCAGCTACTGTTTTTTATGAACAAGAACTCAGGCTTAATACGAACGTCCACTTCATTATTTGTTAAATCTCATAGATACAAGAGGAAATGATAGTAATCCTTGTTATATTAAACTACACAACATTGGTGCTATTATATAGCAAACCAATTGAAGAATACAAAGAGACACACTCAATGTGGGACTTCTACACTATTAACACTAACACTCTTAACACTCCCCCTCAAGCTGTAGCATATAGATCATATGCTACAAGCTTGATACATAAATAATACTCTCATTAGGAACCAAAAACAACAATGCTACATCAACGAAATGAAATGACTAAGTACAACAAATCAACTGGAATGACCATCAGTCTGAAGAGCTGATAAAGAGACAATGCTGGAATGGACATCAGAGCATGGATGGTGCCGGAATTATCATCGGCAAAGACAACTGAGCTGACCAGGACATCAGCATCAAGATCCCTCTCAGACATTTCATTTAACAGTTGGTGAGAAGCCGTGGTTTACCCTTGACTATGCTACAAGCTTATTACAAGAAAGACCAAGTAACATAACATCATAATAAATCTCCTAAATGAGAAACCAAAAATCAACAATGTGCTAAAAATGGCGTCGCAATGAACATCAACATGGAAGATGCCGGAATGATCATCGGCAAAGACAATTGCGCTGGAATGACCATCAGCAACATGGACGGTGCTCCCCCTCAAGAGGAACTTCTAAACAGTGCCAGAATTATCATCGGCAAAGACAATTGTGCTGGAATGACCATCAGCAACATGGGCAGTGCTCCCCCTCAAGAGGAACTTCTAAACAGTGCCAGAATTATCATCGGCAAAGACAATTGTGCTGGAATGACCATCAGCAACATGGACAGTGCTCCCCCTCAAGAGGAACTTCTAAACAGTGCCGGAATTATCATCGGCAAAGACAATTGTGCTGGAATGACCATCAGCAACATGGACAGTGCTCCCCCTCAAGAGGAACTTCTAAACAGTGCCGAAATTATCATCGGCAAAGACAATTGTGTTGGAATGACCATCAGCAACATGGACAGTGCTCCCCCTTAAGAGGAACTTCTAAACAGTGCCAGAATTATCATCAGCGGAGACAACATCAGCAACATGGACAGTGCTCCCCCTCAAGATGGATGATGAATAGTATAAATGCTCCATCTTGGGAAGAAAGAAAATTAAAGAAAAACAAAGCTTCGCGGAATCGGAAAAGTCGCCGGAGACGGCGGTGGGTCGTCGGAAAAGTCCTCGGAGACGGTGGTGGATCGCCGAAAAAGTCGCTGGAAAGTGATCGGAAAAGTCGCCGGAGACGGCTATCAACGGTGGACGACGCGGTCAACGGTGGTCAGTCAACGACAACGGTGGTCAACCCAACAACTTCCCAAGGATCATTCTTTTCTGATGTGACAGATCAATCTAAGCTGCAGTCACAGAGCATACTAAGAAAAACCCGAAAAAGAAATAGCAACGGGAATCCCTCAAGGAGGGTGATGTCTCTCTATAACCATATTGAAATTATGGAAAATAAAACTAAGTTAAACGGATTAAGATTCCTCTTGTTAGGCTCTGATACCATGTTAAATCTCATAGATACAAGAGGAAATGATAGTAATCCTTGTTATATTAAACTACACAACATTGGTGCTATTATATAGCAAACCAATTGAAGAATACAAAGAGACACACTCAATGTGGGACTTCTACACTATTAACACTAACACTCTTAACAACATAGTCTCTAAACCCAACTCTAATCCCAACTCTATAGATTCACATTAATGAAATAAAAATGCAGTTAAGCCTCAGGTACAAAAATTTCCAAAATTTTGAAGCTGTAGAATCTCGTGCCATTTATATACATGAATATTATAACCAGAAGCGGGGAAAATCTCACCAGAAAGAAGGAAAAATGGAACCTGTCAATGAAATATGTAGCAGGACCAAATGAAGGAGTCAAAAGGCTGATGCAGAAGAACACGGCATGGGCCGCGCCATGACCTAAACCACCAGCTGTGAAAAATATGCAAAAGATATTTTATTAAAAAAAACAGTTTACTATTAATGATATAGATCTTATTCCAATAAGCAACACCTTTTTTCAATAGCATCTTAACAAATGATTCATTTTCTTTGGGATATCATACAATTAAATTCAATCAAGAATCTAGTTAAATGCCAAAAATAAATAAATAAATAATCGGGACAAAAAGAGTAAGCAGTATCAGCAAGATTGTTCCAGCCAGCAAATAGTTAACATACTTATTAAAAGTTGGTCAAAGACAAATACTTGAGAAACAAAAGCAATCTTAAGGATTGGAAAATAGGCCTGAAAGGCCTCCATTTTCTTACCCAGAGCAATCAGCATCTTATCTGTTAAGAAAAGATGTGGTTTTGATACTCTGTCGGCAAAAGCATCTAACATATCTTCCAACCTCCTACACAATACCAACAGTAACAAAAACACAAAACCAGCTTCAGTATACCATAACATTGCAAAACATTTTTTTTATAAAAAGGTCAGAGATTTCCTCATCATATTGTAAAATAATTCCTATAAGCATATAATAATAAAAATAATAAATCAATTTATAGTATAAGCTTACTTATATATTTTCCAAAAGAAAAGTCTGAGGCCTTCTTGAAAAGCAACAGATGAGAGTATAAGTATTCCGTAAGGCCACCATGCTGTACTATTCAGGGGCAAAAAACCCCTCCATATTCCAGACAGCACAATCAAACTTATTAGCCACAAAAGCGTGCTGCATCAACGAAATTGAATCATCCAAAAAACAAAAAAAAAATTCATTAAGAACCTAACACACATCAAATGGAGCAGAAAGTTTCATTCGAAAGCCATTATTATGGTAATTAGAAAACCCTAACTAAGCATTGCAAAAGTAATTAATGAAATGAATAGAAGAGCTAGTTATGATTATGTAGTGTGGGTGAGTGAGGTGTAAACTACTAAAAGGCGCGTAAGGTTACGTACCTGGAGAGAACGGTGAGAATCAAGAAGGGCTTTTTGGAAATTACGGAAATGAAGAGGGAGAGAGACGGTCCTAACGCTATCAGAGCGTACCCGATTCCTGCTGCTACCGTCATCTCTCTCTCTCTCTCTCTCTCGAATCTGAGAGTGAATATAAGAACTGACAAAGTAACCAAACACTTCCAGACTCGTTCTCTGCTTAGTTCAGACTTCAGACAAAAACATGAACACCAAGTCATGGATCTTCGGATCCGAATCGTGGTCCCGGGTTGGTTAATGCAACTTTATTGGGCCGAAGAAATTGAACTTCATTCAGTTGGTTGGGCTATTTGAAGAACATAAAAGCCCAAATCCTAGCTACGTAAAGTGCAAAAACAAGTGTCCTCCTTCATTTACGTGATGTGAAATTTAATTTTCAGGGATGTTTGGTAGGAGAATTTTTTTGAGATTTTCGGTAAAGTGACGGTCGTAATCTTATTTATCCGTGTTTGTTATAAGATTTTTGAAAATTTTCTCAAAAATCTGATTTTTCCATAATTTTATTTTGTGTATAATTTTTTTTTTTTAAATGTCACCTAAGAATACAACCAAATGGTGGTATTCTTAGAATCTCATTCGTTGCAAATATTTTATACTTTTTTTGGAATAAAATTCCGATAATATTTTGACCTAGTAAATAGCTTTTGATAATATTTTTGAAAAAATGATTTTTTCATTATATTCTTGGAAATCATGATTTCGGGAGAGAAAAAAAAAAGATTGCCAGGAGTTGACTCACGACATGTATTAGGAGCAAAGTTAGTGTGCTCCGAGAGCAAAAAAAAAATTGGTGGGATTGAGATGAGATAAAGAGAGAAAAGGGTGAGGAGAGAGAAAAGAGAAGGAAAAAAAAAATTGGCTCAGGTATCAATTTTTCAGTGGAAGAATCATGAAGGTCCTGGAACATATTAAAAAATTTATATATTAAAGCTTCGGCACTTCAAATTTTACTGTTCCTACTGTTTTAATAGAAAGTTAAATTTCAATACAAAGACCATTTTCATGCTTTAATTATAGCACGATGAAGCGTTCACTTAAAAATAATTAGTTTATAATATTATTATTCACCTGCTTGAATTGAGTTTTATTTCACATGCCTTATAATATAAAACTATCCATATATCTTCTTTTAAAATCATATAAATTTTGATATAGTTAGTTATAATATTTAAAAAGTGAACATGTTAATGGTGAGGGATTTGAAAATTCTTGCATGATGTTATAAATTCAAACCTTATATTATCATGTATCCGGAAAAAAAAAGTTTAAATTTTTGCTAAATATATTTTCAAATTAAAAACAACTTATCAATCAAGCGATTAATTATGTCAGTAAATAGATCATAATTAACAAGGACAGCTCAATGCCCCAGGCTCACATCGTCGTAAGATCTACAAATGAAAAATGAAAATGTGCATTTTTCTTTTTCTTCTTGAATCCCTATCATAATCCCTGAACGTTGAATCTGCCAAAAAATAAATAAATAAAGATGAGAAAGTAAAAAGATCAAGTCTCCATAAATAAAACCAGGTTTCAGATCCTCTTGCCCTCCAATGTTAAGTACGAATATTTCTACAAAATATACATCTCTAGATGTGGGGCTGATTGAGACCCAAAAAAAAAAGTAACCCAAATCCAAAAGAACAAATTAGGTTAAAGCTTCTTGTTGAGTGTGGACTTTTTGGACTTGGAAGATGGGCTTGAGTTTGAGGTCTCCTTGAACGCTGATGGGCATAACTCATTTATAGCACATTCTCCACAACGAGGTCGTAGAGGTGTACAAATTGTCTGTCCAAACCCTACCTGTGCCACAAAAGAGTATGACATTAATATGCTACAATGTTGTAAGAAATAAGAAGCCAAAATGAAAAATTTGTTGAGTGGGCACACTCACAATCTGTGTCTGAAGTGAATCCTATCTTACACTAATTTGCCATATAAATTAACTATTGAGCCAAAACATTCATAGCAAAATTGTTTATAAGTAGGATTTGGACATACATACCAATAGAGGATTTATTGGATCCCATTCTTCCCTTGGAAGCCACCGTTGCAGTGCCTCTCTTGTCTCTTCAGGTGTCGAAGTTTTCTAGCAAATTGAAGAGGATTAGTCAGAACAAATAAATTAGGTAATAATACCCCATACATAAAATGTGATGCCACAAAACTTAAAAGAAACCTGTTTTGTGCCCAATCTTGACACCCAACCAAGCCGATTGCAAATGCGGTGGACATGAGTATCTACACATATACCTTGGACATTGTTCCATCCACAATTCATAACCTATTGTGCCACTAACAAAATTTACTTCAGAAAAGTAATAAAACATACTGTTTGAATTATAAAAGCTATTACACATACCAAATAAGCCATCTTAGGACCTATGCCTGGAAGTAAGAGTAGTTGCTCAATTGAGCTAGGTATGTCTCCATCATACTTCGTGAGACAAATATTTGCAATTTTTTCAAGTTAGTGGCTTTTCTTGTATAAAACCCAACCTGGAAAAAAGAATATCCATAGGTTCAATCACAGATTCAATTAATACAATCACAAAACAAGCATAAACTTAAAAGAAATTGACACCATAAAGTGCAAGCTAAGGAAATACAGGAATCTTCATAAGATTCCTTAACTTGACACTAAATCCAAACTATTTGAATCACAGGGGAGGCAATATCTTTAAAAGAAACAAGGAACATACAGGGTAAATCAATTTCTTGATGGTTTCTTCATCAGCATTGTTGATTGCATCAGCAGTAAGCAGACCATTTTGAAGAAGACGTTGGATTGCTCCTATTCTTAAAGCACACTTGTAACTAGAACCGTTTCATAAATAAGTTGAAAATATGACAAAGACCAACGTTTTTTAGCAACTGCCACATATGAATCGCATACATCAAGATAGATGGTAAACAAAATCTTGGGGCAAAAAGTACAATGGCTGCATATTTGCTTATTAAATTAGCAATTAACTTGCATTATATTCATTTTCAGAATTCAGTCATCCATATCAAGAAATATAGCAACTATCCATAACTTCCTTCCTTCTACTTCTTTTTCTTGTTATGTCATGTTTTATAAAAAATATGTTTGGTGTTCCAATTTCCCCTTTTTCTTCTTCTAACGCTTTGCTATCTTTTAGGTGGTGGATAACATCCTTCTACCGTCACAAGGAGCATTCTTGGTTAATGTTTATTTAAATTACTTCCGAT